TATATTTGCTTCAAGTTATGAGGGAAGAGGCAAGGCACCTTGACCATCCATAACGAATGGCTACTTTTATTGACCATTTAAGATGCGAAACTTTTGTTTAGTGCATTTAATCAGTTGAATGAGTTAGCTGATCCCCATATTGAGGCTATAGAATCTTAAATGACGATATTTGATGTAATTTTGCTGTCCTATCGTTTATATAAAATGGCAGGCTTTATGATAGTTATCATTAGTCCTTAGGCTGACTTCAGGTTTCACAGAGGGAGAGGAACATCAAATCGAAAAAAATCGAGAGGGGGGGGGGGAACAGAAGAGTGTTTTAAAGATGTAAAAGAGGCAGGCACAAAGGTAGATGTAAGGTGAGATGAGTACTGCGAAAGTGGTGGAATATGACACGCAGTGGGGTCATGATAACTTGAACTCAGAAGTCAGCTACCGATTTATAGACTTTTTTGCCGCATGCGTATACGTTGTCCAAGGTGCACCACGTGGAGGTAAGTCTATCGTACACCCTGCAGTCCTATCGTAAAAACAGGATATTTTGATTTCCAAAAAAAGATCAGGAAAAGTTAGAGTTTTTTGAAAACAATAAATGTACACCATCACATTCATTATAATGTTTAAAAAATGTAATTAACAACGCTTTATTTAAGCAATGCCTTCTAACACTGAACTTCGGGTTACTCGGGGTGTGGGAGTTTGTTGAAACATCGGCAATGGTTAATTACAGTGTGCTCTGGAGACGGGTTTGGACATACTGGATGATAGTCGAAATCGCAAGTTTTCTAATTTGATAATGTCACTTAAATTCACATCACGCTAGAATTAATCTAAAGAATGATTAAATCGAACTATTGCATTCCACTCCGCGAATTCTGTATTTCAACATTCGATCATGGCGGTTCTCGCGCAGTCACCAAACAGAGTTGATTCACACGAGTGAGGACACTTTGAGAAAATAAAAACTTGCAACGGAAATGTGATAACTCCTCAATTTTTTCCCAATATACATTCAGGATTATATTGAAGGACACAGAAAGACTTCGATTCTTACATTGTCTTCTCGAGGGCTCGAAGCGTAGTTCCACCACGAATTCTCCAGTTAGCAAAAGTGGGTTTTATTATATGTTAACCCAGCCACTTACGTAACTCATCTTCAGTAATAGTGAGGCCTTCTAAGGAAGTGTCTTTAGAAAAAAACGGCACGTGAAAACAACCAATCTCTAGTAGCAGGTCAGCAAGGCCACAAATTTCAGATATGAGGGATGGTGATATGGTAACGCAACCATTTGTACATTTCGTAAATTTGCTTTAAAAGGCGGGATGTTTTTCGAGCCGCTTTCATAATCATCGCTGTGCATCTATAGGTGTCAAAATATTCTCTTTCTGCGCCCGTCTGGTCTCCATGGTCTTATTCATTTCCAGGTCAATGCAAAAAAGAGATCTTAAAGCTCATAAGCAGAAGATAAGATAAATGCAATCATCTGAGTATTGATTGCCAATTAAAATTCCTGCATTCAAGGCAATACCACTTACCTTTACACGCATATATTCATATCTTGGTGTCGAAATCCGTTCAAACAAGTTCCAAAAATTAATCTCTATGGAATGCACCGGTTATCATCGAATACATACTATCGGAACTTGCGTACTGGCACGTTAACCGCTGTTGCGTACCCTGTTGTGAATAGATAGATAGATAATCGTTTAACCTTTCATCCATTATTTGTCGGGAGCTTAGATGCCTTGAAGGACCTTGTGGGCATTGGCTTTTGGTGAGTGGTTGATGCGCCAATCCAATGATTGGTGTAGGCCCTATTTAAGGCGGCTCATGTGAGAAGGTAAGCGATATGCTATCGAGTCACCGCCACCAGCATAAAGTGAATTCTCACAAAAAAGCACAACCCATTAGGGAGATCCCATTCTTGCTTTCTTGCATAAGATTATCGCGTAAGTGTGGCGGCGGGGGGTGGGGGGAGATATTTGCTGCTTTCCTAATAAATTAATTAATCTATTACATGGGAAGCTTCAACAATTCTATTGGCCAGGAAAAAAATACTTACCTTGGTTCAGCCAATAGGTCTCGTAAATAGTGTTTTTTTTGTTCTAAAAATACTCACTATCGTATTGAAATAAAGTGCCCAAAATATGTACTTGAAAGGTAGGTGTTATTTATCGTGCCTATCTGATAAAAAGGGCTATAATGAAGTTGTTTTAGGAAAAAAAATGATGTGTTAAAACTTATTTTGCTCTTAATTTTCTTCAATTAGAATTATTTAATATAAGTAATAAAGCCATCCGAGCTACCTAAGTTACGACCCCAGTTTTGAAAAGCGACACATCCTGATGCCTATTTTACTAGGATTCCGACATTTATTAGCAATATATATACATATATAGGTCAGAATTTATAAAGGAAAGCTTAGGCACATGTGGAAAAATTATCACGTCATAAAAAGAGGACGCTACAGTGAGAGAATGAATATCGTTTAGCATGGCCTAACCAATAGGAAAACAGGTGGGGCTCAATAAAATAAGCGACAAATTCATATCTATGAAGGTCATTTGTTCACGGTTTCATTTTTCCCATTAACCTATCCTTGATAGCAGCTTGATGGTAAATAATCATGTCGGTGATGGATTTCCAAATTGCAAATACAGAAAGCAGACATTTGCCCCATTCTTTATGTGACTATTGGTGATCAATTAGTGATGGAAAGCTAAATTTGAATTCCTCTTTACCGCCCCATAATTATGGCAAGTGATATGGCACAGGGTGTCTTAAATGAAATTGTGCTAACCAATGGCGCTTGAACAAGTGGACCGAGATTCATTGCGAGTTTCAGTGGTATGTTTTAGAAAAAATAGTTAATATCCCTGCCAAAAATAGATAAGACCTTTTTATCGATTCCGTATGCTTGAGTAATAAGGGAAATGACATAGTGACAAGGGGGGAGGGTTCAAAATAGGAGAGACTAGACTTAGGTGAAAGAGGCGGCATAATAGAGGCTGTGCCTTAAGGGAGGTTGGCTTACTGGTGCGTGGGTACTACGCGCGTATACGTGTAGCATGTTGTTGTATCTTCAAGGTCATTAGCAGACGTGCGCGATGGGTAGCGCCTCTGATTGGCTGGACAGGCGTGCGATTGTGTGCGCGTGGTGATGGGCAGACCTCATACCGGGAGTAACCAATAAGAGCACTGAGGTGCGTGTGTGCGAAATGGTGCAAGATCCTGATTGGTGAGCCCGCAATCCAAGCCAATCACACGGCCAGCGGTGCATAATACGTCGAAGAACTCTAGCATCCTCTCTCTCTCTCTCTCTACACTTTGCTTTCTGTCATTTCTCGTCTAACCTGGATCACTCCCCAATTACTGCTCAACGTATTTCAATGTCCACCAGTGGTGAGTGTTAATCAGTAGTTTTCCTTACTCTCTCTCTCTCTCTTCCCCCATTTAATCAACTTTATCTTCTCAAGAATTGTGAACTGGCACCATTCAGTATTTATAAGAAACCGTTAATCAATGTTAGTTAGATTAATAGGCACGTGTTTTCGTAATTTGGAAAGTCAATGGGCTCCTTCAGACATTAATTTATATCAGAACGTTTGATGAATTTAGACCCAAGTACAAGTCAGTCAGTTATCCGAAGAGTGCTCAAGAGCGCAGGGCTATTATCGATTGGTGCTCACAAGAAAGAAGCATTTTTTTAGGAAAATTCATCTCCCCATTAATCAGTTTATTCTGCCTCCAGTGAGTAGCGCTTTTTTTAAGAAACAATGCGTACAGGTGCGCTGCCATTGCAACGAATCAATAAATGAGAGTAGGAGTTCTTCTCAAATAATTTGACAGAGGAGCGATGGTGAAACAGAGGTTTCGATATATGGGGTGGGGAATAGCGCAATTTGTGCGCGCATGTTTCTGTATGCTGGCACGTCTCCATTGTGACAATCAAAGAGATTTACAAATCATTGATTTTAAAGGAGGTCTCTCTTCAAGAAGTATACTAATTCCTGTATTTGTGTCAGACTCACCTCTTCAGACCCGGCAGACATTCTGAAGGCTTTAAACCCACCAAGCGTGTGAGTATTTTGTGGTGCCTATTTTCCTGCTTACACACGCGTGAAATGCGTCTGTGAGTTGTAAGTCGTCGGAGAAACCACACGGAGTATAAGGTCAAGCAAGGAATGATTTGAGAAGTGCAAACAAGAGAGAGGTGAAGTTTAAGGGCCGCAATTTCATTGGCCGCCATAGCGACTACTAGCAGCACACTGTGAAGTTCATTAAAAATAAACATTCCTATGTAGCTCGTAAAAGTTGAAATCTCATTAAAATCACATGCGCATTACTGGCCTTCTGATAATTTCTTTATGAAATGAAAGGAACACCCGGGGTTTTAACACATCAAGAGCATTTTACTTATATTTCCGGTCGGATGAACTTTTGCTCATTACAAGTACGGAAATATCGATTTTCTCCTCGCGTTTATTATCAGTTGAGACAAAGGGGTACACTCAGTTGTACTTAAAGTTATTTAAATATACCTTAAAAGGTCGAAATTTAAGTCTTTAAGTTAATTGTTTACAAGGTTCAACTCTATGTTCTTTTCTGAATTCCATTTGAGATTTCAGCTTTTAATTTTCAAACACAGAGCCACGTAGTGATGACAGATTTGCGGAGTTAGAATGTTCAAACTTAATGAAACGTCGAGTAGTTTTCTACTAACACAAAGAATAGGTTAAGCGTAAAGCGAATTTCGATTAGAATTACAAATCCACATTTCTTCTCGGGGTTAGACAATTTGTGGAATATAATAGATAAGGACATTAGCTATACCGTAGTCTTCCAAGAGTTTGGATTTCACAATAATCTTATCATATTGGCATATCCTACAGGTTACCACCTACTTCCTTAAACTGTTGGATTTAACTTTCATAGCCGCAAAATCATGCACGTTAAAAATCTAAGAGTTGCTAACTTTTTGGGGGTTGGGTTTTTTGGTCATTATTATTTTTAATTGTGGTTCAAAAATTGTTTTGTTCCAAATCCTATTTTCCCTCGTTTCATTTTAAGGCCAGTTTTTTCGTTCTTGATTCATAGCTTAAATATCAACAAATAATGTCAAAATAGCATTGGTATCTTGAATTCAGTCAAACTTCGGTAATTAAATGTTTTGGTCGTGAATTTGCCTTGAACCAATAGGAAAAATGACTGAAGTTATTTGTCCGCCGCGAAAAGATACGGGCAAATGCAGCGACCAATCATATTTATCTCTCCCCTTTGGCCAAAAGTCTCGCTTACCTTTCCCATTGGCTAGTCCATTTTTTCCGGGGATTATTAGATTAAACCTAACTTCAGACGAAAGGCGCAACTTATCTCCAGTCATACGCAAGGTGTCGGATAAAGTCTACATCACATTTCCTTTTTAGGTTATGTGATGTGGACTGTGTAAAACTGTCTCGGGGTTTTCACATATCTTACCCAATTAACCTTCTGATATAAAGGAAACCCGAAAATTGCAATCGAAAATCATAATCTGTTAGAAATCGATATCGAATTTTTCACGCAAAAAGCCGGTTCTAACTGGATAGGCTCTAAAAAGGAGAACGGCTATCTATTTAAAGACGTGATCTAGCTAAGCCATGGAGAAGCAAAATACCGAGAGCCTATACGAAGGAACGAAGGTCAACTGCATGCGTGCATGTTTAGATGCTAATTTGCACGCATACGCCATGCACATAGACACAGAATTGTTTATAAGAGGAACTGAACAGTAAGCGAGTGCAAGGCATTGCACTCACAGTTTTCTCGTGCGCACTCGTGTAATTATCGATTTTCATGGACGCGTTTCTATGCGTTAGGTGCGTGCGTATGTGCTTGCGCGCTCCATTTGTGGTAATGTGGCCGCTGTGTTTTGTGGTGAAATGGGTTTTCGTGATTTCGTTTTCTGATAGGTAGCTAAATTGTCTATCTATGGCAGTATGCTTTAAGCTATTAATCATGATTAATCACTAATATATATATGTATATTCGTTTCGTGTGAAGGACAAAATTTAAAAATTCGATTTTTATTTAAATTAGACAATCCTAACTCATCAGAGTCCGGGAATACTGAATGCAATGGACCAACCGAAATGGAATTGGCTCAGCTTTTGGTCAAGACTCTTGTGCCGTCCTTCAGGAAGGAAATTCGTCTTCAGGCACTTATAGCATATCAAGTTGATGGGGAAAACTATCGAAGTCTAATTGTGGATCGATGCTTTAAGCGGGATTCGAGTGAAGACCCCAGCAACTCTAAAAGCGAACCGAAATCTCCAGAAATGACAGCCACTTCACCACTGAATGATTCAGGAATTGAATGTGGTGACACACCAGCCCAAAATGGAGGACCGGCAAATCAACCCGTTTCAAGGAGGAAGCGAAGATTCTGTCGACCGTGCAAGATCCCACAAAGTCCTCAAATAGAAGAATCGACACCTCCGAAAATTCCAGAAATGGAACCGCATTTAGTCCTTCCCACCACCTTATCGGATGTTAACGAAACAATTACTCCCGCCTTAATGAACGCCTTAACGAGTGCCGCTCAACTGGAGCCAAAACATCAAGTCCCAATCCTCCCAAATATTAGCATCTCTACTTTGAATAAAATAATCATTTCCCCAATTTCATCAACGAAAACAGCAAACAGTGTTACTACAAGTACTCCCAGACCTATTCTTCCAAGACCGATTACAGGAACAATAACTTCCACCCCGATTACCACAACCTTCCAACCTCCTGCTAACCTCCAAGATCATTCCACAGATGGTGCGGAGCAAGGTGAAAATGATGACGCCTTAGCTTCAAGCCGACGTTATGGAAAGTCCTTCATTTGCAATCAATGCAAACTAGCCTTCCTTTCTCTCAACTCACTCTGTGAGCACACCTATTCCCAACACAAGTCCTTTCGATGCAACTTCTGTGGTGCTCAGTTTACTCAACGCTCTAACCTTCAAAGACATTCCCTTAGACACGTTGGTTTCAAACCATTTGTTTGTGGCGTGTGCCAAAAAGAGTATTACCGGAAAGACCATCTCGTGAGACATATTGAAGTCACTCATCCAGGAACTGATGCTAAGAAGAACATAATTGTGAAGCTAAGTTCGGCGGAATGTTTGGACTACCTGGATGCCATCACCCAACAACACTCACAACCGTTGCCAAATGGACAGGTAGAGTCAATAGCTAAGCAGCAGGAGGAGGAGCCATCAACTTCCAACGGAGTGACATCCAGTGAGGCAGAAGTGCCAATTCCCATAGAGACGGCTGGTTCAAATGCGGCTTGACAGAGAAAGAAATACCAAGTGTGCTTCTGAGTTTACTGTAGTGCATTTTCTATTCATTTAACCCGACTGACTAAGTGATTATTATCATTATTATTCAGGAGCTTGCTGTCTGCACAACTGTTAATTCGACTCCCTCTCCAAGCCACACTTTTTAGAAATCCAATCCAACCTGTCTTCCTATAATTAAAGCATAACAATTGTGATTGACTCAACAAAATTCAAACTTAGCAGTGCCTGGTGGTTGCTCCCTTAAGCCAACAATGGATCGAGCGCAACTGGGGGATAGAGACGGGAATACGAGGCTTTATTTGATTACGAGTGTGTCTCTATAGCAAAGTGGCTAGTGTGCTCCTCTGCCAAAACCGGAGGCCGCGGGTTCAATATCAAGCGGTTCACCTCAAGTGGGTGTGGAATGCCTATCCGCACCAGTTAAGTAAGACAAATAGAGAGGTAGACACAGTGGTGGCTCCAAGGTGATGCATCTCTGCTCAGCTTGGAGATTAGAAAAGCGTTTCGAGTTGAGATTGAGAAACATAACGCAGGTCTAGGGTAATTAACACATTAGATAAACTCTCATTCATTGTTAAGGGTTTCTAAAGAGGAAAGTTACAGTTTTCCAGAAGGAATGGTAACTCCAATTAGCATTAAACTCTGGTTCATTGCGAATTATTGGCTTGTAGATGACAGACTACTTAATAAATTATTTGAATGTCCACAGACATAAATGTCCAAAATGTTCAGTTTATCGTTGTACAATTTCATCAATCATCAACCTGATTTACGTCTAGTTAAGCCGAAGATGCCAGACAAGAGTACAAGTATTAATGAGGATTTCGTAATGGAAGTATCCATCGAATATTATTACTTATGAGATACTAATAAGGGAAAGATAACACGAGAAAGCTACTATCTTTCCATCAATCAGACTAATTAATGCAGTTGGTAATTCCTAGCACGGGACAGTCTTGAACTTCAAAGTAATAATAATAGCACTTCGTTTCACTGATTACACATGGCTATTACTACTAAAAACAGACGAGTTGCTGTATGAGAGTAGGGCTACTTGAAAGGAGGACACAGGGAATCAGGTCATTCGTTGAAGCACATAGCACCTAGACGTATGCACGCATTATGCATCACATGGCATCGCTCATTCAAGGGCAGCGGGGGGGGGGGGTGTGATTGAAATACTGCTGACGATATCGTAGGCAAACTTGGGCGCACAAACTAGAACAGTAGAATTACTTAGTTATCATTTCAATGTATCGCTTTCACACCCTTTCCCCTTCTATCTTGTCGATAATACGAGTACTAATAAATCGATATTAAAATTACACTTATTGCAATAGCTAAGGAACTTAACTTAGAACATATTTAACAGGATTTTGAGAAATGGTCCCGCTTTAAAAGGCATAAAACTAGGATTACCTCTTGGCTCACCAAAGCGACAAATCGTGCTCTAAAATTAGATCCCCCCAGGAGTAAAAGCCGCACACTACCATGCCTAACACAGAAAATTTAAACTAAACAATCGTAATAGTTAAAAGCGCCCTTGACAATGCATCGCATATGGATAGATTCTAAAATTAGGCATAATTTCAAAAATAATACAGAACTTTTACCGAAAAGCAAGAGACTCAAAACTACAGGAACTCCAATAACACATATCAAGGCGAAGAAAGCACACCGATAAACATGTTTAAGCGTGTTATTAAAATAATAGATGATATATATATATTTAAAATTGACAAAGAAGACTAGATCACTGGGAAGGGCCTGAAATATAGATGGAAGAATTTTAGCTTCGATAATACCTAAAATAGAAGAAAAAAAATGAATCGCTATATAAATAGGACAAATACAGGGTGTTTCAAATAAATTTACGATATAGTATCACGTCAACTATTCATCATTTAAACCTTGAAACTCTTCTACATTCATATATGACTGGTATCCACTTGAATAAGAAGAGAGAGAATTACTTGCAACATGATGATTCCGATCGGTCATTAAAAACTTAAGGAGATAAGGGTTACTGCTCAATGCCCACTCAACACTATGAAAATATTACGACATGTACATGGGAGTTGCAATGGAAACTACGAGCAACCAAACAGCCAATTTTTGCAACTTCACCAGTGCATAGGCCTCTCAACTCCTCGTGCTCCAGTTCTTAGCCCAAATAGACCATTATGGTGCGAAAAGGGTGCTGTGTAGAAAGGCACTAATCGACGTGTCAGCACTACAAAAGCCAACAGGTTAATGAAGAGATTTGGAGACACTTCCAGGAACAGTACAGAATCTGCTTGACACAGGTTTCGATGTCAGAATGGATTCCCTTGACAATAGTGCCATTTCCTAGTCAAGTAAACTTCTCTTAAGTCTCTTACCGTATGCAATTTCGAACAATATGCTAGGGATCAAATTTAAAAGCTCCTAAAGCAATATTAATTGCTCAAATGTTTCCTTAACCAAGTAATTTAGAGAAAAAATCTGCCAATAAATTCAGCTCAAAATTACTCGACAGAAATAGGAGCGATTCTAAGTGATGAGAACAGGTGAGATATGGGTTTTAAAACCACAGTGAATACGGAGAGTGAGGAGTATGGCATGGAATCAAGTGTCTAGAAATATATTAGTTGGTGACTTTAACCACGAAACAGGAGTTGAATTGAAGACACCAGAACAAGAGTAACAGAACGAGTTCTTTGAAGTGGTCAGCGATTTCTTGGGTTGGTAATGGGAAATTTGGCACTGATAGTCCATATTGATAATCGCGGATGGGGAAGGAGGAATCTGAGGATAGTGAAGGAATTGACAAGATTTACGGGATATACACACTCAATACAATGGCAGCTTCGCACTTTACGTTTTCACTCGAATTCCCTTCAAATGGCACCTCTGATAGCTTTGGCCATGACGATACCACAATCGATCTGCCTTGAACTTCATTTTTCTGCAAGCTTTACTTTCGATTCTCAATACGCCTTTACGAACTGTTACCGATGGTTGTGAAACATTGAAAATTGGCCGAAGCACTACGATTAGCCGTTTGTTTTTTACTAATGCTTATTTTTAAAATTGTGTGCCTTCAAGCTAACAGTCCCAATCTTATGTTTTTCATATGGGGGTGGGGGGGGGGGGGGGGGGGGGGAGGTCTAAGCGATGCCTTCTCCCTGTCAAAAGAATAAAAAGGAACAAGGTCAAGTTATGTACGTTTAGAGGTATGATTCAATGAAGAATAGCTGTACAATTTTTCGCCTTATATGAGCAAGGTAAGAGAATACCGGGATCTAGCTGGCAAAGAAGTCCCCTCTTGACCATCCCCCCCCCCCGCAAATCAATATGAATCCATATGGTTTATTATTCACTCTCATGATCGGCAGAAATTAAAAACAAGAGTGGCGGTCAAGGAAAGTCTTCAAACGATTGTCGTCTCCGATGGCTACACACAGAAGAATTTGAAGGAACACGCCTGCTTTATATCTCGGAAGCGCAGAGGAAGCAGTAAACTTCACAACGTCGGCGTGTGTGTGTGTGTGTGAGAAAGAGATAAGGAGCACAGAGGAGCGCGATATCTGATACCTATGCCGCACTGTGATGCTGAGTCACAATCACAGGCCTCCACCTCCTCCATCACTCTCCTAATACCATCGCTGCCTTCAAAATAACGAGCCTGACAACTGTGAGTTTAAAGGATGGAAGGAGAGAAAGAGAGCAACCCACTGTCACAAGCTCTCTCTCTCTCACACACACACACACACACACAAATATAAATCACTTCAAGGAATACACAAATACACATACCTTAGTGGTATGCGGTAAGACCCAAGGATGAATAATTATCCTCCAATACTCAAGTGCCACCGCTACCTCTCTTAGGAGAGAATGAGAGATGAAAAACTCGAGCTTAGGCGGGATGCACTCAAATAGTAAGAGATGCAGTGACGTGAAACCTTTAATGCCAACAATTCGAGGGCTTGCGCGTTCAGGAGGCGAAATTTAACAAATAGAGAGAGAGAGAGAGGGGGGGTAGCCTAATCAATATATATATATATATATATATATATATATACATTGCAGAAAAGTTAGTGAGCGCCAAGAATATGAGAAAAATACGCCACAAGACAATGAAATCAATCCCTTGGTTACAATAAACGCAAACGATGAAAGAAAATAGAACGGGACCTAGAACCAATTTGCTCTTTACATGAAAATAGGAAAAAATAGGTGATTAGAGATACTATTAGAGTGCTCTCCACAACTCTCAAACTTTCATCAACTTTGATGGGGTGGCAACAGATCAGTTAACCTACGTTACGTTTCCCCCTCTCTACCAAACCTACATCTATAAGTAGGATTTCATCACATATAATTATTTTCTTTCTAACCAAGTTCACTCGAAATATTCGTGAAGATAAAAATAATAACGAAAAGTCAGAAATCTAACCACCAACAAAAATACAATAATATTTGAATAAGAAGTATGTTGAGGCTGGTTGGCAAAAAAAATTGACAATTGCATTGTCACATGACTAGAGGACGTAATTAAAGGAAGGATGCAAAAGTTAGAACAATTTGAGAGAGAGAGAGGCCACCGCGAGAGAAACGACGACGACCTTAAACGAATGCCAAATCTAATGTTACTCTGTGTCACAGCGACACCGAAGAAAATAAATTCGAGCAAAGGTTTGTCTTCCTGATCTAATTATTCCAAAAAACGGAAAGGAAGTGGTCAATTCGAATAGAGAGTAGGATCTAGAGGAAGACAACTATCTGAAGGAAGGTGGGGNGGGGGGGGGGGGGGGGGAATGAGAACCTCAACTACTCGACTTCAAATCCGAGTTTGCGTAGGGTAGATAAAAAAGAATGAAACAATTTAAGAGGACATAAAAGATCACCACAGTAGAAAAGAATTTTCGACTTTCCCACACGTGAGAGAACAGAGGCAGGTTGTGAGTGCAACAAGAGTGGCGAAAGCTGAAAGACTGACATTGCTGTGAAGTCGAGCCTATATGTGCATATGAAGATTTAAGCTGGTGACGCCAATTAGAATATGAATAAGTCAGACCCCCCCCCCCCCCCNCCCCCCCCAAGGAAATCTAGCTGAGTAGTTGGAATGCGATAAAGACGTCGTAGGAAAGACTGCAAACAGAAGCAGACGAAAAGGAGAATAAAAACTCCTGATATATGATAAATGAAGTATGAACGATGCATTCATTCAAGGAAATATTATAAAGCTCGACAGAGGTGTATATTTAATAAAATAAATACCAACTAACAATTAGAAATACCTTTTCTTCATATACCAGGTCGTGATGATAGGACGATAAAAAATGCATAAAAGTGGCATAAACCACTTCTTCGATCGAAAAAAAAACAAGAAGTTCCAAATATCGCGGACATAAACTCTTCTCGAATGTCAGGAATCAAACCACGAAAATCGCACTTGAATTTTATGAAGCACGGTATACTTCTTAGGAGGGAGTGGATAACTCAGTGATTCCAGAAATCATTACCAAACTACGCCCTTTCAACTCTACCCCCCTTACTGAACTGTTTTGTTATTTCTTGTGTTCGTAAGCTATTCCATGGTGACAACTTGTAAAAGAAACTTAATTGTCATGGGTGGTGATTAATTGCTAGATAAAGAAGAAGGTTGAAAATCTTTATTGACTATCATGACTGATCAAGTTCAGTTGTAAGTAAGTTCTAAAGGCAATTGAACGAAAAATTGACTTAGATTGGAGCTCACCAGTGAAGAATTTCATTAGTTTTCATATTATACCAACCAGTTCCAGTTTGAAACAAAAGTGTTAACATGCAAGAGACTACACAAGAAAATAGGATTGAGTGGAAGTATCTAATCCATTTCCAAGGAAAGTAAAAATTTAGCATGGAAACAAGCATTCAGTCTAATGAAAACACACACACACCGAAGTGACCGCCTTCTTCTTCTTCTAGTCAAATGATTAGATGACGAAAACGGGAGCTTACCTGATCAAACGGAGAGTCGTTGCAGGGCGAAAGCGATTAACGCGGCACCCGCTTCATCATTCGATTGCTGTGGCCGACGAGAGAAGGTGCCCTCCAAACAACTCACAATTTCTGTGGTGTTCAATTTATCTACACATGAAATGAAGGCAAAATTGTCTTCAAATGAGTAATGAAGTAATGCCAAGTAATGATTAATGCCAGTATGATTACAATCCTCCCAAAACGATCATCCCAGGACCATGTTGTCAAAGAGCCATACAGAACCTGCACAAAGATTCTATTTGAAAAACCTATTGAAAGACTGAGTGATGAGAAGTTTAATTCAATGACAGGTACTCTACAGGATTTAAAAGGAGCCAAAGAATTCTAAGCGTCATTCAAATTACTTATCGGGTAAATACCATTGGCAAGTGCGTGAGTGAATTGGCAGCGATTGTTCTTTAATCACAAAATTTCCTTTAGAGCAATGAGAACTAAGCAGAAAGAGGATGGATTTGTGATTGATATCCCCGAGATCTTCATCAATGACTAGTGCGTTTAATCTAGAGATCTCATTTCCCCTGGTCCAAGTAAAAGAGAATGGAGCAATTTGTGGGAGAGCTTACAGGTATCAGTAAAGAATAAGATGAGCAAAACTAAAGAATCCCCAAACACTAACTCAAAGGGGTTTTTTTGGAAATTCAACGACGGAAAACTTCGACCAATACCATTTCACCTTTGTATGACTGTGGTAGGTTCACTTAGCTAAGCATTCTTATAACACAAATCAAACCCCCCCCCCTCCCTTCCTCCCTGTGTTCTCTCTTAGATTGAGGAAAATAAAAAAAATATTTAAGAATTGGTACTCTTTTAGTATATACAATTTGAAAACAAGTTGATTGGATTTTCTCCTACCATAACTTATGCGTGTAAATTCGATTATAAGTACAGTTAGGTAGAATATCCCTTTTCTATTAATTGGACAACAAAACGAACGAGAATGCAAAAAAGGGGAAATTTGATGGAGAGAAACGTAGGGGAGGAAAAAAGCCTCCAAAATGTATGCTTAAAAGCTAGATGGCAAATCGGAGTCAATTTAATTCCGAAATAATCATTCGTATATATAAACTGAAATAGCATCACTCCGAATTCCAATGATCTTACAGGACGAAACTGACAGGAGACATACCTTTGTTTTTTGCTACCTCTTTCACAGTGAGATCAAACAAATGCAGAAGGGTATTGTTTTTGAGTAGCCAGGATCGATTTACCGGGGATTTTTCCAATTCCTCGTTAGTATTCCAAACAGTGCTTATGAGGCTTGTGAGGACTCTGAAATGAAAATAAAAAGGCATTTCAGCAAAGCGCACTTCAAATACACCTTGCTTTTTACTCCCAAAGGGTTTAGATTTGATCACTCATAGTAAATATTTCATACCTGCGTTGAGCCATGATCCCTTATCGAATTTCAAGTAGATTTCTACCCCTAGGAAATGATCCAACCAAACCCCCCCCCCTCACCCTCTTGGCATTCAGGCGGTTTATCGCTAGCACATGCATGTGAATTTTACTCAGGCACAAACCAGTGACTACCGGCTTCACCCGATTTCATCGCCAAATAAAAACTCCACTACCATCAGTAGATTTCAAAGTTTGAGATAATGACGGCGCTAACTCCATATCCCAGTATCTAAAATCTTACGATGGTATAAGTTTGGACCCGCCATTAAAAGGAGAGGAAGCTCCGGTAGAAATGGAATAAATTCGCAAATGAAAATAATCTTCAAACTTTACTAACAATATGACGAAACCAAATGTTTGCCATTTGGAACAACCAAAACCGACTAGGAGTATGGGCCAATACAGAAACATTTTAGGCTGGGCGAAACTGTACGAAATCCTTTCTCAATTAATCTTTAGAAAAAATGAAATAACAAGTGAGTTGAACTCACACAGTTGCATTATCGCTACGGAAACAAAGAGTTGAGTCATATTGTCTTTCTCTTTTTCTCACTGGCCTCTCACAGGAGTTGTGCGTGCACGCGAAGTGAGATTGAGGACAAGGCAGACCACAACAGCCCCCATATCTTCTCGCTAATGCAGTTTATCATTTAAATCAAAATGCAAAATTTTTAGGCAACATAAAATGAACTCCAACCAAACAATAGCTCACGAAAAGGTATAAAAAGGCCAAACAAAATCTCATTTCGACGGGGTGCGCGATAGACTTACCTCCACGTGGTGCAACCTGGGCAACGTATACACATACGGCAAAAAAAGTTTTTAAACCTGCAGTTGACTTCTGACTTCAAACTACCATGATCCCATTGCATGTTATATTCCATCACTTCCACAGTACTCACTTCACCTCATCTTTTTCTTTACCTTTGTATCTCACTCTCCCCCTCTTTCTCTCATAGTTGCGTATCACTCTTCTGTTCACCAACCTCTCGACTTTTACCCACTTTGAAGCTCTTCCCCTCTGTCAAGTCCGAATTCAACTAAAGGGCCAATGATAGCTATCATAAAGCCTACCATTTGAAATAAATGAATAAATATCACACATCGACTAGATCAAGTTCATGCATCTCTAGAAATGATAGCTTATCGTATCCTAAAACTCAACAAATCAATGAATTCCGGATAAAATTAGGAAGAGCTCGGAATGTCCTTCATAAGACAGAGAAAACATCTTTAAGTAACGAGCGCCTGAACAGAAAATAATGCTCACGTGGTATGGCCGTTGAAAAATTAAAAACAAAAGCCACCTAGCATAAAGAATCAGGAATATTCATTCGGTTTATTTGGGCAAAAGTAAGTCCATAATCAGGAAATTTACAATTACACGAACAATTTTGCAAGGCATAGACCGGCCGATGTCTTTCCACGCAATGAAGACTTTAATCAGGAAAGAATTCAAGACTTCAAGGTGAAACGAACTTAAAGCTCGAACAAAGGAAAAACAGTGGACAGTGGCACTCTCCGACATACCCGACTGGCCAAGAATCGAAGCCGTTGCTGAATTTAGACTACGTACCAGACACGATTGCCTGGCAAAACACCTTCACAGATTAGGAGTATACACTCATCCAACATGCCCCCTATGTAACCTACAAGAGGAAATGGAGAAGACCCACCTGATTCGGTGTCCAGCCCTAAAGACAACGACGGAAAGCCAGAGATACTGGGAAGCAGGAAGACAACTAATGAACAGCTATTAATTAACTGCTATATGTGTACCCCCCCCCCCCCCCCCCCACCCATGGGGGAAGCTAAAGTCGAAGTTTAAGGGCCAATGATAAATATCATAAAGCCTGCCATTCGAAATAATAATAATAATAATAACAGTTACACGAATAAAAATTTCATTACACTATAATATGCAATGCAACTAGTATCCTCAAAACATCCTGTACTAATTAACTCCTCTTGAAATTTAATAAGTAAAATAAGTAAGATAAAACACACGAACTTGAAGCCTGCATTAAAATCCAATTCCTAAACAACAGTATAATTAAATACGCACAAGTTGGTTTAAAATAGCATGACATGGTAGTCATTATCAGTAAAAAATAACAGCCTAGATCTGAAGGGGTACAGTTTTAACAAGCCTACTTACTGGATATAAGTAGTAATACTCTCAGCAACAAGTTTTTCATGAATAAATGAGAGGGAGTCGAAAATGTCCCCTTCCAGAGACTGCGCAACATCCATGTCCAAAAGCAGGAAAAGAAGAGAATTCTTGAGGATCAGAGACTCCCATTCACCAATCCGAATTCGCTTGAAAGTACTGTGAAGATGCAGAAGTCCACCAATTAGACAGAAGAGACTGTTTGCTGTGAGATTGCGAGTCAGAAAACCCGCTCGGAAAATCTAGAAGACAAATAGCGATTCAGAACTAAATACAAGGGTAAAGTTTTTGTAGAAAAAAAGAGGAAAGTGATTAGTTCATTTATAAACAGTCATTCTGACTGGTGATTGCCTGTACCCAGCTCCCATAAACTCCGATAAAACTGTAGAGGAAAAGGAAACCTGTATACCTTCGTGACCATGCTAAACTCGTAACACAATTAACTATTCCGCTTTTTGAGCACCTCTCACCCTTTCTTCAATAAACCCGCACGTAACTGTTTTTGTCTACAGATGATCGAGCCCCACGCATGTAATTCATTACCCCGATTTTGCAAAAGAAAGATCGAACATGCGCGCAAAAAAGGGGAAAGTGGCTTTAAAGGTAGAGAGAAGGTAAGACTTACATTGATAACAAGACCGACGGTTGCTCGAACAAAACGACCAGCCCGCTCGGAGGAGTAAGCGAATGGAGGAATCCTTCCAGACGCAATGAGATCCATTTGTATGCCTAAGGATTCAAATAGCTCTGGTGCTTGTGGCAGAAGCAGATCACGAGTAGCAGTTGCTAGGTAAAAAAGCACATAGAAGCTTCACTAAAGTTCCAAAAACATAGACATGAGCAAGGCAAACGTTTTCCACATGTTTGACTTCTCGCAACTAAAAGTGCAACGATAAGGTACTGGTGGATTGACCACATGCCAGTAGACGGCCTAGCCATGGACACTGTGAAAATTAAACGGGAAGGAAAAGACGAGATTACAGGTAACATAAAATAGCTTTTCAGCATTAACTGGGATGTTTCCAGTATTAACCCTTTATATTTTGAAAAAATGCACCCAACCGCACTCACGTGAGTCACACAGTAGACTGATCCCGCCGTGATGAGCTTTGGCGGTATCAGGCGAAGGCTACATAGACGTATTGAACATGTTTCAAACGGAAATAGCGCCGCTTCTGTTACGAGTCTAGTACCAATGGAGATTATTTTGAAAGAGGAGAGTGCGGCCTAAAGGGCTTTAAAGGATTGAATAGCAAAAAGCTAAGTTCCTTCTAACAGATTACATTTGACCGCAAAAAAATAAGGGGTGGTGGGGAAAATGCATACAGATGATAAACAGCGAAAAGAAATTCGATCACTGAGTTCCTAGTCTTCATAGCTTATGGGAAATATAAATGGCTCATTTCAGCACAAACCAAATACCCTTTAAGGCAAAATCTAACACTTAGTAGTGGTAAACCACTACTTACTAGAGAGTTGAGTTTAAAAATTGCATACTATTGAAAATTAAAATAAGCGGACTAAAATGAGTACGAACAATGGTGTAGAAAGTCGAGATGAGAGAGAGCTAAGAAGGCATCATCGAGGGCACTTGGTTCTCCATCATGAAGTGGAGTTGAGAGGAGTTTCGATATGAGGAAGGTGACCATTTCACATTCCTTTGCTCTATCGTCCTGCAAAAGCACATCAACAATCCACTGTCTTGCTGTCTTCAGAAAACTCTCACCATCTTCTTGGATCTGACTGCGGGAAATGGACCTACAAGATTTTAAGGGAGGGAAATTTAAAAAAAATACGACAATAACCATAAGAGAAGGATAAATTAACAAGGTTCTAGTAAAATAATGATATCAAACCAAATAAACAAAATGTAGAAAAAAGTTGGAATATATCGCATTCCCCAAAACTCACACAAGAATGCTTGGATTATTTGTGTAAGAGGCATTTTGAGTGTTATCAGGATACGGCACTGCTTTAGGTCTCATCGGAGTGTGGAAGCTCTGTGCTGAGACGTCTTGGTTCAACGCATCTTCCAAAAATGCTCTGTCTCTATCGGTTAGCTATAAAAAAAGAATAAATTGGAGGAAAGTCGCAATAGAAAGCGGATCTGAATATAACTAACTCTCACATCTACTTCATTATTCGCCATTCCATTTTAAGTAGCTTATAAGACAAACGTGATTTTATAAGTTAATGTTTTGATTAAACATTAAACACCGCTAATTCATACATTAGTTCAGAGAGGAGAAAATGATCTTCGAGTTACAGTTTCATCTTCTTTATACTTTAGTCTATATTGAACACCACCCTTGTGGTACACCCCGGGCAACGTATACACATACGGCAAAAACGTCTATTAACTGGCAGTAGACTTTTAACTTCAAACTACCATGGCCCCCACTGTACGTCATATTCGACCACTTTCACAGTACTCACCTTACCTTACCGTTTTCTCTACCTTTGTGTCTGCCAGTCTCTCTTACATATGTGAATCACTCTTCCGTTCCACAACCTCTTGACTTTTCTGACTTTGATGTTCCTCCACTCTGCCAAGTCCGAATTCAACTAAAGAGCCAATGATAGCTATCATAAAGCCTGACTTTTTTGATATAAATAAATATTGAAAATTATAGAGGCTGAAGAATAATAGCACAAAATACTACAAAAAACCCCATTAACGAAATTTAATTAAATAATTAGCTTTGAATATGGAGAATAACGATTAAAGTGGCACTGCCTGAAGGTCGAAATTGGAGCATTAAGAAGTAATGTAGAGCCAGAACCTGAATATTGAAAAATTTAAATGAATCAAAGCTTTCCGAAGCCAAGCTTTATTATCAACCCCACCCCCTCATTTTGGTCCCATGTTTAGATACCTTCCAATGGAAATTTTTTTTCATTTTCATAAATAAAAGTAGTACAAAGGTCAATTCATTCTAACCTTTGTTGATGGCTTACGTACTAACCTGTCAGAAGTCCATAAGAAATGTGTGGAATTATGACAAAAATGCTTAGATTTTCAAATAGATAAGTTCATCCATTAGAAACCCGATTTGCATTTTGATCGTTAAACTGGATATGCGAAAATACGTTAAAAATTTTCATCCAGTTTATATGTCATCAACTACTTATAGTAAGAAATGACTCACGTTTCCAGCCATTGTTGAGATTTGTTCAATCGTGTAGGTTCCACGAACGAGTTTCAGACATTCCAGAGCAGAACGATTCACCTGCCTATCTGAAGAGCCTACATACTGAGCAATTGCCTTAATATCAGCAACTGAAGGGTCCAAAAGATTCTGAAATCGCGAGAATAGGAGCTTCAGAACTACGAAGAGTTCATTGAGAATCATAGTCTCTGTGATAGTACTGATAGCATCCATAACAGTAGTATAGACCTCATTAGCTGGAAGTACATGACAGAAATTGAGAAGGAGGTTAGCCAGGCGACTGCTATGCTCTTTTGATTGGCAGAAATATCGTTCGAGCACGTGGGAGGCGAGCAGTGGTATTGGTAACAAGATACGCACTTCAATAGGCATCAGGGTCATCTTAGCGTTGGCAAGCCGGGAAATTAATTCATCCAGATAGTCAATTGCTGCAAAAAGAAAAACGTAAAGACAATCTAGCAATGTGCGAAGGAAATCTTCGCAAGGATCACTCCAATCCAAGAATAGCCAGGAAAGCGATTTCCGATGCTCACATATTTTCCACAAGTTTAATCCGAGTAACAGACCACTCTCTCTCTCTTTGCGAACGACAATGAACTTAATTACTGATTCAGCACTCACTTCCCTTGCTTGAGTAAGAATAGGTCTATACCTAATGTCCGCCTATTTCCACAGGAAACATGGCCAAATGGTACTTTACTAATGAACGACTTTAATGGCGCACTCTTTGTACTGGTGTGTGAAGTTGGGAGCCTACTTCTAATTATTTAGTAGCAACGTACTTGGTTGTTTAGACTCGGAACCGAGATGGACAAAATGTCATCAAACCAAAAACTCGTCTGTACGGTGCACACATGCGACCAAAAAAGCTGAGCAATGAGTAATAACTAGGGCAAAGAAAACAGGCATTTGGAGTTAAAATTAAACAAACGAGGTCTACTCAAATAAAAATAGAAAAAAAACGGGGATGGGAAGGTGTATTTACAAAAATTTGAAATAAATAAAGCTTCTGCTGACTCACACTGAGCAACGACATCTAAGTCCAGTTTGTCAGTTGAAAAACAGGACTCAGCCATCCAATGGAAAATCAAATCGATATTGGCATGAGTGTCCGAGAGGGGATGATGTTGGCCAGTGTCCATGGCCCTCTTACGAGATGGCGTGGGATGGAGAAGAAGTTGAGTCAAAAGCCCAAGAATCTCTTTGATTTTGGCAGGATTCGAATCCCAAAAGGAGAGCAGACGGCGTAAGTTCTCATGCACTCCTGCGTCGAGAAAGTCGCATTCCAAACGCTTGCGTGAGGGCTAAGAAAGACCGACGGAAAATAAAGGTTTAATTTCTGGGATGTTGGGGGGCTATTTAATTGCTGCCTCCTTGAGCTGAAATGGAGGCTGAATAAGGCATCTTAAAAGAAAATAATTTACAAATATTGAGTACTTCACAAGTATTAAACCCCCCCCCCTCATTGACAATTTCATCCAAGGAGAGACGATCGCATGTGTAAGCGTCTACACAAAATAAGTGTAAACTATGGCTTCAATGAAAAGGTGGAATAAGGGTACGCCAAATTAAATAGACTGTTTTATGCTCTCTGTAGGTCTAATGGTTACGACTGAACAGATATGTTTTCACCTATGGAAGGGTCCAAGGCCACCAACCTCTTTAAGGCTCATTGTTTGGAAGCTTAATCCAATGTTTTCGACCTTCAAGTATTCCGTGGAATGCTTATTTTATGAAAACAAGAATTCTATACAAAATAAATCCCTAAATTTGGAAGAAATCAATTAAAATTGCATTTAGAAAGACGATTAAGAGCCCAACAGATGAAAGGTAGAATTATAATTTCTTACATGCAATGTCCCCGTAGACAGCTGAGCTAGCCGAGTTTTCTTGGCCTTAAAATCCGCTGTCAAGAGTGGAACCGATACAGCGGAAAATGTAGTCGACAATCCGAAAGGTGAATTTTCGCTCTCAAGAGTGTAACTCCCACCTCCACGAATTGGTGGAGATTTCTGATTCTCACGAGCCAGAGATTGCTGTAGTGTCTCGGAAGGGCTAGACAACACAGTAGTAACCCTATAAACCACAAAAATGACTATCACAAAATTGTTACTAATTACATTTTCGCAGGTGATAGTTTAATAAATACCTTCTGGGATTTTTGGGGGGAGTTTCCTGATCGTATGGTAGAGGAGAAACGGGCTGTCGTTTGTTGGCAAGTCTCGGTGTCGTATAGGCGTTTGCCATCACACATTCTCGTTTCTTAAATTCCTCTTGAAGGAGTCTAAGAATCGCCGAATTGGCTGAGTTTTCAAGTTCGGCTTTGAAGGCTCCAACTGGAGGATAATTATTGCTGTTGCCTCCATGGGTTAGGCAGTAGAAAATAACACCGGAGAGAGTTATGTAGGCATGTCGAACCTGACCTGAGCCGTTCTGAAAACCTTCCTTGATTCGCTTTATAGTCTGCTGATAGTTTATACTAAAAGTTGAAAAGGGGATATTAGGGTCTCCAGGTATGTTGACGGAAGACTCAACAAATCCTCCAAAATTAGTACTTAAACATATTCTCCACAACAATACTTGGAATTCTCATCCATGAAATTGTAGTGATATCTTTATGCTCTTATGGCCCAAACCCCTACTTGTCATGCCAACACAAATTTATCGACCGTCAAAATTATTCCTCCACACTCAGCTCAAGCGTTTCCTAATCCAAGTGGTCCATATAGACCGATATTTTGTACGTTTACTCACATACACATTCGTAGGCAAGTTTCCCTCTTCTACGCTTTCGATTTCTCATCGTCAGAAATTTAATACAAGACTCTTTTTGCCTTTTGCATCCTTTTAGCGTTGCTGTTGTTTATTTTGATTAGCTACTTGTAGTTTCTTTAATCAGATTCTGATTTATTAGTTCCGTACAAGTTGATGCCTCCTAAATTGGTGACTTCATTTCGTGCTACTCCAACTACAACAAACTGGTAAATTTGTGAGCATTCACCTCCCCGCACAACAATAGTTCCAACAATTTGATAATGGGAAAAATATTGAAAGCAAACACTCGATAAGGATGTCCAGTCGTTGAAATGTTCAAGAGCGCTAAATTATCCATAAAAAAATAAGATTTGGAGTACAAATATGATTGGAGTTTAATACAAATGTATATTTTTAGGCTGATAAAAAGACCACAAAGAACTGTAACGCTCTAAGCGATTTAAGAAAACGCTAGTGAATGGCCGGTAGGGCATTGGCCTGATGAAATTCAGGCATTTTACTAAAATCAATACACAACCAGAATAAAGATGCAAATTGTATTTGCTTTTCTAGTGTACCTATTTATAGAAATGATCGAGAGAGAAATTATGGACTTCTAGCCACATTGAATAGTGTCGAAACCCAACATAGAGGGAGAAAAAAGTAGAAAGAAACAAGAAATTCACGGAACAATTTAAATTGGCTCGGAAAAATATTCAAATAAAGCCAATAGATAAAATTGAGGAAACCCACTTTAGACTTAGCTACTGAAGAGATATAAGTACAGAGTTTTTTTAAAGGCTTCTAAAGTTTGGCTTTAAGACCTGATTTATTTTTTAAGAGAAATATAGAAGTCGAAAAAAATTAACCGGAGAAAATGAAGTTATACAAGTTTGCAGCTGAATCATTCACAAGCTCGAAGCTAAATTAGCTTACACGTACTCCCGCGGTAGTCGGTCTATGCACTTACAACCACTTCTTCTAGTGTCAGCAAAATATTTACAGCTTTGTTTACAACTCATCACGTCCCAGGGACCACGACAAATGGACTCCATGGACCCAACCTCCCTTCCCACGTCTAACTCCGAATATACTAGTGTTGGTAATTAAGTGCTCCTGGGAAGGAGATTCAGTCATTCCAGGTCTCAAAATTAGCAGCAACAAAGATGGTATCTTAAATGGATTAACCCCCTTGGGACTAAATCTCAAAATATCATAAATGGAAGAATCGTTCACTTCTCAGGATCTTCCTTTGATTCTCACCTACCAATTAAATGGAATTTTGAAATCAACACATCTTTTTGTTCAAGACTAACACCTAAAACGATTCATAAGAAACTATTTTGACATACGGCTTCAAAAACAATGCTAGAAGATTAACTATTGACCATAAAAATATTCATTAGGTATAAATTTGATAGAGGCAAATTGCTCAAAACACTAGAGTTCATATAGATCTAAAGCAATATATCACATTACATTAGAATGTAAATGGATCATTGATAAAATGAATTGAGTTAGAATCTAGTCAACAATTCATTGAAAGAAACCTATTTCTTACGAGTTCTATCAATCTAATGGACAAAGCGGAAACAAATCAAAATATCATACCAGAAGTTGGACGCTCGTTCAAGAGCCTTCGAAAGCCAGAGGACAGTATGCTCTGCCGATTTGGGCACTTTTGCAGTTGAAGCTATTCTCAGGAGAGCATCACCAAGCACAGCCAATCCACAACACTGTTCCAGACCCTGGAAACACGCTTCGCACGAAGCGATCAGTTTCGGTGTGCATATCATTCCCACAAAACTCGTCGACAGATGCTCAAACAGAGATTCGCACAAAGAAGCTTCTTTGGAATTTCGCATCAGAGATGCCAGAGTCTCAAGCAAGCGACATTTAACCTGAACATTTGTCTCTTTAAACCCAGGAGGGCGGAGGAGAAATCTGATAAGAGATTGAGTAAACGCGGGGTTATCAATTGGAGGCGCAGAGGAAACTGCTGAATATATACGATCGATCGACTCAAGCCTCTCTTTCCAATTTGTCGATGTCAGATTATTGATTATTGGCTCAGGAATGGACCATTTAAAGAGCATATCCCTAACCTCATCATCGGACATGTGCAACTCAGAGGTGAAATTTGAGTTTACCGGAAGTGATTGAGGGGCTCCTTTAGCGCCCGTTTTCAACTTCCTTGTTTGAGAGGGACCCACCAAAGGTGTCGCATTTGGAGGTTTTTTAGAAGGAGCAGCTTTTCCTGAAAGATCATCTAATTCTTGAGGCTCAGCCGGGGGAGGTTTTGTAGGTCTGACAACTTTTTTAACCACCGTTGACAACTTCTGATAGGCCTGATCGATTCGGGCCTTTTTTGAATCATCAATGTCTTTCGCGGCGATTCGAGCATAGGTAGCCTCATCAGCGAGAAAGCGGCGAGCAGACGCGAGGGTACTGTATGCAGCATCTCGCACAGTATCTGTCCGATCTTCCAAGTTGGGGACAAGGGAAGAAAGGATGTGCTTGAAGATAGCTCGACGAGATGAAGTAGGAGGTGGATTAGAAGAATCTAGGGAGGCTTGAAGAGCTCGATTTAGAACACCCATTGCCTCCTCCTTGGAGGTAGGATTAGCAGACTTCTCCCCTAGGCTTGCAATGACCGCCTCAGTAAGTGTGTCAATAGACATCTAAAACAGAAATGGATGCTTCCTTAGAGTTGTAAAAGTGGGGAATCAAATTTCTGCCGCTATGACTTAGGTATTTATAAGCTAGAATTGGATCAGAACAGGATGGAGATAAGACAGAAATACCATAACTCCAGACTACGTTATTAACTGAACAAAGAGTGTATATAAATGAATGTAAGTTGATTTCATTTTACGAATATTTGGAGGCCAAAGTAGAGCCGGAATTTAAAAAAAACGTATGCCCCGAATAACTGTGGGGGAACGGCAAATGCCCACAGTGATAGAAAAGATATGGGGATAGAGAGGAATTTTTTGTTGAGAAACAATGAGATGCGATGTGAATAGGTATTGCTACCAAACAGGGGGTCACTTCTAGTGTTAAGCGATAGCAAATTTCACAAAGTTTGCAATAAAATGGAACAGAAGGCAAGTCTGGGGAGGGGGCATCTATCAAAAAGGAGCTAATATATTGAGAAATGTCTGGTCGGCAATAATAATATACTAGGCAAGATAGGGCAAGCCAACAATTGATAAAAGAAAGGAAAACTGCACTTATAAAAATTATTCGAGTAAGGATTAACAAAAGAAAACAAAGGTTCGGAAGAACGGCAAAAAAGAGGAACACAATAATGAGAGATTTGTGAATTTAAGGGTTTTAGAGAAGAGGGAAATAAAGGAACTGGCAAAGAGAAGAAGCGATATGACAATAGATGACGCAGTTAAAGCAGTAGGAAAAACTAAGATCAATTGAGAAACCCGCAAGAAATTTCGAGCAGAAATTGATGCTTTTTAAAAACACGTTTTCCAAAACTAAATTTTGTTTATAAAATTGAAAAATCAAATTCCTGCATATTCAAGGTTAAGTCAGTGCACAAAATGTAGGGAAAAGGACTAAAAACACTTAAAAAACCACCTCCAAAGCCTTCGAAAGTTGAAACAATCGAACGAGAATACAAATGATTTTTTAAAAATACTATAAATTTTGTCAAACAAGATCAGTCAAAAAAGTAGAGGGTAAAGTTACATGGATAATAACGCAATAACACGTATAGGGAATATTACGATCAAATGTTGTCTTTAGCCAACCTATGCTCAAGTGAATAAACTAGAGGTTGGAAAACAAATTAAAGTAGAAGCGTTTTACAAATTAGTAAGTTGATAGAAAAGCAAGGGCTAACTGAATCAAATAACAGGGGTAATTATGATCTGGAGATCAAAATTGAACATTAGGACATCCACAAAAGCAACATACAGTAGCAACCGAAGCATCAGCCGCATTCCGAAGAGCAGATAATATTGCAGGTTGTTTTGTGCGAAATCCTACAAGACATGCATTCAAGGTCTGTTTGGAAAATGGTGCGAAATCTCGTTTCATCGCAGTAGCAGAACGTGCAATCATATTCGCAGCCGTCATTATAACTTTAGGGTGTTTGTCCGACGCCATGGTCTAATTAGACAAGTATAGAATATATGAAACTAAACTTACATTGGTAACAGCATTTACTAGGTCCGATGCTTCCATTTGTGTACAAACACTATTCCGTAGTCTGGAATCAATTCTCTCCAGAGCTTCTATGCGATCATTCCACCTGGCTGCAGACTTAAAAAATAAAGACATAAATTTGGGTTTATTAGATGAAAACTAAATGAGCTTGTAAACTCACGAGTTTCTCAATAAGATCAGCCATGTTATTTTAAGAAAAGATTTTTTCGCAGTCTAAATAAAATAAAACCGCGTCAGTTTATAAATGTTTAAAACTGGCAGTTATTAAATAACAAACAACTAGACCTAAAGCTTACAAATCCTCGTTAAATTCATGAGAGTCACAATCACCAAATTACCTTGAATCTGCCGCAAATACTTCAATATAAATTCCGTTATTGTGGAAAACAAAAAACATAATCTCTATTTTTCATAAAAATTTAAGTGTTTTTGGCAATTGGAAACGATTATTCTTGATTTAGGATAAAATACCGCAACTATTGTACATAGGAGACATGCTTATACATTTTCGTTGGTATGCATCATTTTAATTATGGTTACGCTCATGTTTATATTTTTGGTATTATTCCTACCTCTGTTTCTAAAAATTCAGCTTTTTCTTCAATCAAATAAATTAGTCTCTATGATGTATATGTTTGCGAAATGTAATTTTTAAAAAAATCTTTAAATTCGTCTATTCATGTAGATCGACCTTTGTCTATGCACTTACATAATAAAAAAGTATATTCCTATATCAGTTTTTCATGTACTTTAGGTAAATTCAGTTGTTATTTGAGTTTTTGTAAAATAATTCGAACATTTCATACATTCACATTTGATCAAGATATGTTGAATTTCTTTAAAAAGATGTACCAACCTTTCAAAAATTTCTACTTATTGTATATTAGTCACACAGTATTCAATTCTTCTATATTCTCAGCCATAAAATTATCCTGAGCACATCATTGCTCTTCATTTTTAATAACTCGATTTCGACTAACTAAAATCTTCAACCAAACTTTATTACACTAGATACTTAAGCACTATGCACGGGAATATAAATTCCTATTTAAAACAATCTCATCACCAATGCTTTAAATGAAAATGGAAAAGAATTTTATTAGTCTTCATTAGTCATCCATAATGGTCACAAATTACGAACTCAGAAATAGCTCCAAGTTAACATATTATTAGGCTTTAATTTTAGAATATTGTATATAATATTGTTAATTTGATAGCTTCTTGCATAGAAATGTCTTTGATTATATTCACCAACTAGTAAAATGGATCTTTAATGGGTTATTGCACTAGTAAGCCCTTACTTATCCTTAATAATCACCATGGCAAAATATTCGAGTATGGAAAGGCGTTTAGAGAGCACAGCAGTTATTTAAATTACAATCAAAGCGAACCCGATAAGTTCATGAATGCATTTAACATATTCTGATTGAACCTTATTGAATCATCAAAACGCCTGCCATTTGAAATAAATAAATTTGCTTTAATGGTATTAGGGTTTGGAAATCCACGGATTTTGCATAGCATACTAGGCATAAAATTTCGAAGTGCACATTTCATTTTAACAGTACTTAGATTGTAAAGCTAGAATGAGTGAAACGAATTGACTAATTTTTAAATAGCTACAATATTTAAAGTAATACGTTCTCAAGTTGTACTGTTACCACAATTTATCTGATAAATTTTAAACATAGCAGTCATATTTTACTTTCTCTACTGTTTATTTTAGTGGACTGAGCAAGGATTTGCTTTAAGTTCTTTTATATAAGAGCAACGCTCATGGTTAATGGAATGGGAACAAGTTGGAGCGTTTATAATCGATCAATGAAGACTATTTCAACGACTCTTTAACTCTGACTTATTTTCAAGGTTAGCATTCACACATCTTAATATTACTCCCTTCTTACCTTAAGCGAGTAGCAGACGAAAAATAACAAGCATTCAATTTTGAATTATGTTCAACGTTAATTAATCAGAAGTTCAGTTGATAGTTGAGCTGTTTCCTTGTTGGTCAAAATTATCTAATTAATCATTTGTTGATAAGGTGTTGTAAACCAACTTTGATAAACACAGATTAATATGCATTTATACTATATGATATATTTCCTAAACCAATTATTTAAAGCTAGAATTAATCGTTTATCTAGAAACATATTCGTCCTTTATTTTGTTCCTAAACGCATTGTCATCTGCTAATTAATATAGGCCAAGAAAAGTGTGTCAAGAAATTCTAATTTAACCTAAACCTTACCATCTGCATAATCCATTAGTTAAAAACGAATTAAATTGTGCTTGAAACCATTTATATTTGCAAATTATCAACAAATTATTAATAGGTAAAAAGAGCGCACACATTTTTTATGTTTACTAGTCAAACACCACGTTGCCGAAAACTTCTTTTGAAGCTAATTATCCCTAGGGAAAGAGTAAAAGAGCTTGTGTTTATCTACACTGTCCACCTCTTTTGATAAGATAATTCTGTTGGTACATACAACAAAAACAATGTAATTATTACATCTCTCCCACAGTCACAAATTTCCTATCTTCCATCACATTCTTTGTTTTCTCATATAATCGTGTTTTCAAAGGGATGAAAAAAGTTGTTTGAAGTTTTGACTGCTTTTGAAATATTTCTTTGGTATAAGCGTAATGGATTAGCAACGCCTCATAGAGAGAATTTTTATTATTGACATTTCTGTTCTCTTTTTGAAATACCCAATTATTTATTGATAAACGTATTTGAAATACTTCGAGAAAGACTACCTTAAGATTACGTTAAACTTTAACAAGAACCTTTGGCAGAATAAAAATTTCTATAATATTTCATCACGAGCTATCAACAGAAATCAGGCAACGGAGGAGGTTATGGTTTCTCGGCGACCTGGCTATGATTGACTAGTATCTTGTCTTGTCAATCGCATTGAATGTATGAATGAAATCTGTTTTAATTAAAAACAGATGAGATTTAATGATAGAGTAAAGAGGTATCATCTCTTTTACGTCTTCTGGGGTTTCTATTACGTTACATAGGGGGAAAAGAAATGCCAGTGAACATATATTTCCTTTATTTTAAAGATTCCTATGACTAGTCTCTTGAATTGCTGAATAAACTTGTATTCACTCTATCCAGGCTGTACTTAAACTTGAGTAAGACGTGTATCCTTTTAACTGTACATTCCGTAAAAATATCCTGGAGGAATCTGCCTTGAGAAGAAAGAGGACTAGAAACGCTAGAATGATCGAAAAGCAAATTCTTATAACAGACGATGTAGAAAGGGGACGCAGTGTTTTTTCAAATCTTTTATCCCAGAACTACCATAAATCTAATCAAATTTTCAGCGCTCAAGCTCCGATTTTTTGATACGCCCCTTTTTCACCAACGTCTTAATGTTGTCTTTCAACTTGGCGGTATATTTTTTCAACACTGCATCTTCTATTTATCCAGTGCACCCGTCTTTGCAGCCTAAGTTGCGTAGAGTGCGCGATTTTTTCTCTTAGTCAGTGCTTTTAGTTAGGGCTATTAATACTCATTGTTTGTGTCTGTGTATTGTTTTGTTTTTGCTGCTCTAAGCTATCTGTTTTTTTCACCCACTTTCTCCTAGAGAGCGTTATCTGTGTCTGGACATAACTTTCGGTTTCTTGCTAGATTGTGTCCTCATCTGTCTTCTCTCTGCCTCAAGGAGTAATTTATAAGCTCCATTTTTGTCCCTGACAATCTTGCTATTTTTTGTCTAAGTCTAAACACCCTAGAGAGCGACGCAAGAATGTGACAAATAGATTAGAAAAGTAGATAAAAGCAATTGAGCCAAACTATTGTAAAAACATTTATTCGGTGAAGCGCTTATCATACCTTTTTTCAATTTTAATTTCCGTATACATGGGGTGTTTGGGATAAATTTACGTTTGATCGCTGTGGATGGAACGACGATTCTGAGGATAATACAAGAGATAACAAGGGAATAATAATTTTCAGACTAAAGAAGGGGACCGCAGGCTGGAAACTAGAAATTCCATAGGATCTCTAATTGGCAGAGTAGATCTCAAAATGCGAGCGAAAAATAGTTAACAAAACTGACAAATAGCTAATAGATCATTGGATGAGTCCGACAGAGGACAAAGTAAGGGAAATCGATAAACGGATTAAGATAACTGTAGGTCAAATGAAAACGTCAATCATGCTTTTTAAGTTTGAAGAATTCTTCGATTTTAACCTTTATTTCTTTATTATGAGTCATGTTTAAATTGAACAGATTTCATTTAATTTGATGAAATAGACCAGGGAAATAGATTTTAACATTTTAAGTAAATTAACTGTTAGGTAAGCTTTTACATTAAAATATTGTTTATTACCAATAATGTCTACGATTAATCGGAAAATGGCCACTTTCCAGGAGAATATCCCGGGGGAATGGGGTCTTTTGCCGTTTCGATAATCAAAATAACCAACAGAGCCACATGTAGCGATTTACTCCAGTTATGATCTTACCGTAGGAATCATATTTGCATATTCTCTCTTGTTCTCTTTAATACAGGCATAACTTATATCCGCATGCATGCTAATTAAGTCACGCTGATTGGCATGTCAATGGAGGGGGGGGGGGGGGGGGGGGGGGGGGGAGTGGAGATAGCATCTCCACTTTCGAATAAGCCTTCACTAAAGCACTGTCACTGTTCCGAGTAAGTATGCGTTATTTTCTTATATTTTTCTAACTCATTTGCTGATAAATATGACTTTGTACTTTGATTTTCATTCCACTCTGAAAGAAAACAGAGAAAATTCGATCAATTTTCTGAAATTTTAAATGAAATTCAACGAACCAATCACATGTGTAATGGGAAAAGCCAACATTTGCACCTAATTAAATTTATTATTGCCTGATAGTAAAGCGAAATTCCTGTGCTATTTTTAACTACTAGAATGCTCCCAAATACTAAGAACAGAGTTGTCCGCAAATTGATAATAAAATCAAACTTATCTGAACATTGAATTTCAAAGTTGTCAATTTTTAAATAGAAATAATTACAACAATTTTCATTTTCTTACTTGAATTGAACACACGTCTATTTTCTTAGCAAAAGAGAAACCAGTCTATGCTATCCTAGATATCTCACTCAAATTTTTCCTTTATACATACTGCTTTAACAATTTCATAATGTGACCCTGGCTTAGTAGAAGGATGCATCTTTTGGTATTAACAAATTAACAAAACAAATGAAGTCCAAATTCGCTTTTAAATAGTACATGAATTTTCAGAAGTTGGTTAATCTGAAAAGACAGTCAATTAACCGCTTACCGCAAATAAGTCCCGAAATTCGAACAATAACAGATTGAATAATTGTTAAACTTGATTGATTTCGATTTTTTCCTGATTATTTTTTCAAATCGTTTCATTTATGTTTGCACATATTAGCAAAACTAATTGTGAATGTTTGTTACTATAAAGAACACGTACCTTATCATATTTACTTATTAATTTCGTGGAAACGTTGTTCTCGGCAATTCCATCTAGGATGTTTCTAGTTTCTAATATTCCGCTTTTGAGTAAAGATGAATTTTCTAGGGTATATACCTCTTCCAAAATCTATTGAAATTGCCTTTTATTGATTTGACCATTACTTTTGTTTTAGGATAAATCATTTGAATGTTCTATTTTTTGTTTTATGCACAAATAATTTTACGACAATTTTTTATTCGATTATAAAGATATGAAAACCTACGTTGGCATCAGTTATCTGTTTTAAAATTGTTTTATTTCTAACTTCGCGCTTGAACCGCTCCCCATCCTCCCTCACCTATTTATTTGTTTAATTCAAATGGCAGGCGTTATGATAGGTATCGTTAGCCCTTTAGTTGACTGCGGGCTTCACATAAAGAAAGATGAACATCAAAGTGGCAAAAAGTCGAGAGGGGGACAGAATAATGATTCACAGACGTAAAAGAGACAGACACAAAGGTAGAAAAAAGGTGAGGTGAGTACTGTGGAAGTAGTCGACTATGACACACAGTGTGGTGATGACAATTTGAAGTCAGAAGTCAACTGTCGATTAATAGACTTTTTTGCCGTATGAGTATACGTTGCCCAGGGTGCACCACGTGGAGGTAAGTCTATCGCACACCCCTCCCTCACCTATAAATGGGTAGTTTCATAGATTTACTTAAATTTACAAAGTAGTATATGCATTTTCGCGCCAATTTGTTTAGGGTCCAATAAGAAGTAAAGCATTTGAAACGGCTCAAACTTGAACAGATTCGATAGAGATTTCAAGGCTAACTGTTTTTAAATAGACAAAAAATAAAAGTAGTCCAATATTTTGGGGAGGATTACTGCTTGTTAAGAAAAGATAGGTCACTATAAAAGCTATGCTAACAAGCACTGATATGGTTCGAGAGCTTAGAACTTTGTTTATAGTCTCCTACATTGTTACATTCAACTATAACTTTGGTGGAAAATGCGTGAGCCTGCGATTTCAGGACCCAGGGTTTTCAGATTTTCCGAGTACTTTGGTACCACTGCTTACGGTGCCTTAAAGTTGCCTGGAGGTACAGCATCAGAGACTCTCAGGAACTTTAATTGGCCCGAAAATTAAAATAGCATATTTGTACAAATTCCCCAGTCTGTTTTATATGCTTTACACCCAAATCATATGTAATATATATATATATAGTATGGTGCAATGCATTTTACTGTACTATTGCAATTACCAGGAATGTCTGGTCAAAAATTCGAACTTGTAAGATAAATCTTGAAATACAGGAATTAGAACTAAGATACTTTTTTTGCCTAAACCACCGTAAAATATGGCAATATGAATGCCGCTTTTGTTGAAACAAAATGTGCAAAATTTTGTCTCGAGAATAGAGTAAATAAAGACTATGTGACCGATTAGGGTTCTTCTTTTGAGGTCCATTACATTGGCAATTTGCTTCTAATAGCGAAAGTTAGTACCTCAATTGGCAATCTAAATTCTGAATGTGATAAGGAAATTTGTGTTTGTTCGTTGCCCTGAAATCCCGAAATTATTAATTATTATTGTTATATTATTTGATTTCACCATTAAGGAGTAAATTGAAGTGAACTCCTAAGATGCTTTGAGAAAAAAAATAATAACTTTCTTGGAACTTCGTTGTCCCAGTTTGATAACCGGACATCAAACAAGACTGAAATGGGTGTCAACACCAACCGTGATGCATAAAAATCCTGTCATTTACCGATGACTACACTGCTACTACCACCATAGCATTAAGCGCTGTCGTTAAGGCGACGGCATTCTGAGAGAGAACGAAAGATACAGACAATACAGTGTGATGATGACGCCACTTCCCTTCTACCCCCTTAAATACAAATACACACACACACAAAACTATCATTAGCGGAAGGGGCATAGAAGAGACAAAAGGAATAGTTTAGTGTTACGTTATTCTAACATTTTTCAAGTACACGTGGACCAACTAGCTATCGCCTTGTCTCTAATATGATGTCCGGTAGTGGAGGCCTTTTCGCATGCGCTTAGATGAAGGGAAATAGACCGACACCTGGTAATGATGATGAGAATTCGTGTGTCTGGAGACACGCAGACACGCACACTCCATTTACGAATCTTCTTTGGTATGAGAGAGGGAGAGAGAGAGAGAGGTGAGGGGATAAATGATAAATGAGAAGAGACCACACGTTGATGGGAAATCGATATCGGCTAGACAGCTTTCTTTGTTTGGAGGCGAAATACCATTCCTAAGAAAATGTAACCCCAGAACGATGCTAAAGATTTTGATTGAATTGGGAAAATTCTTTTAATGGAAGCAAAATATGTCCCAGAAGTAGGTTTTCTATATTTATGCGTATTTTTAATTTGATTCGCATTGAACGGACGGGTGGTAAGTGACCAGATGACAAAATAAACAAACTGAAATTGCGAATTATATCAATTGTAATATGATTCATGCTCGAATGATCAACTCTCCCCCCCCCCCCCCACNATCACCCCCCCCCCCCCCCCCCAACGTCGTCTTTTAATAATAAATATTATATAATTATTTATTATTTTTTTTCGCTATGGCTTTATTTCAAATCTTATTGCATTCACTAAATACTAATGCCGTATTCATTATAAGAATGTAACAAGTAATAAAAACAATTTCAATTCCTCACTTATATCATTTCACTATAAAGTCCTAATGATTTATAATACCACTGCAGACTTTTGATGTTCCGTTCTATTCAAATGATTTAATAATCACGAGGCTTTATTTAACACAAGGGTATAAAAATTAGATTTTATTAAAGTATTGTGCTAATATTAGATGTTATTCATGATGTGCTACTTTTGATCATTAGTAGAGTAATACAATGGTGGAAAAGAGCTCGCTTGTCTTACCACTGGTCTTTTCAATCACAAGTGGAATAGCCCTTCTCGGCCTCTCCATTTTCACTGTGATTGCAATTTACCGTCGACAACTTCCTCGATGCGTCCACATATTTCTAGCCACCATCTGCGTTGGTGGAACAACTGGACTCGTTGCATACCTCCTTTGTTATTACGCACTCAGAACTCAGGCCTACCATCTTGCTTTGGGAGATCAAATCCTACTTGCCCCTTGGATTGAGGCGGATGTGGACTCGAGGTTACTCAGTCATTTCTGTCACAGTCTGCGAGTAACATCAGACAAACCTGGCGTTACCGTGTGGACTGCTTCCGTTTCACCGAACCGAGGTACAGATAAAAAGTACACACTTATTCTACCGGTAAATGACTTGAGTTAATACTAATTTACTAAGCTGTCAGCTTTTATCGATTATCCGTTCTTAATGCTTTAAGGGAATGGGATTAACTACTCACCTAAATCATTTTGTAATTTTTTTGTTTGAATGTATAAAAGGAGACGTTCATTGATCTGCAAATTGACATTAAAGAATTCTTCTCTGAAGCAGCCTACTTTAGCATCCCAAAGTCGCGAATGTTCTATCTGCCGATAGTTTAATCACCATGGCTTACTATTAGCCTGAAACCACTTACGAATGTGCATGGAGTGGCTTAATAAAATCAGCTTTGAGATATACCACTTTTATTGAAATAAAGCATATTTCTAATTTGGCTTCTCAATCAAGTACTCACATTGAGAGAGGCATGATAGAGACGAAAGCTTCCATTTCTTTGAATTTCGATATTAATTGCACATTCAAAATCTGCATTGAATTTTAAACAGAAATTTTTATCTTGAGTAGATTTCAGTATATGCTGATGAGTTATTAAAGTAATTTGGATCTTTGAAACGATTGTAACCCGATTAGCTTCGACATGATTTTAACACTTTGACAGCGGACCACTTTTTTTCACAGTGTACTTTACAAATTTGACAAGAAATTTGGGCTAAACTCACTAAACTCAAATACGTTATAATGTAGTCAGTGTCGGCTTTGTTCTTTAGATCTCTTAAGAGGGAGAAGGAAAGGCGCGAAAAATCGAGATAGGAGGGGGGGGGGAGGAGAGAGGATTGGGTTGACCATGAGACAGGAAGCAGACATTGAGTTAGAAAGATCGAACGGATGGAGGAGGGGGGGGGAGGAGGGGGATGAGCGAGAGAGGGAGAGAGAGCCTATATTTCTTTTGAAGCCAGCTTTTTTCACCGCTCGTGTCCCGTTCCCTTCTCTCGCTTGAAAGCCCTCCCTTACTTCCTCTCCCCTCCTTTAACCCCTTACTCTGACACAGAGAGCTACGCTGAGCGCTCTTTTACGCGCGCGCGCGCAAAGATAGACTCCTTTTGAGCCCGTGTAATTCGTTTGTTCACTTCGCTCCCTTTACCGAGTCGCAATCACTGCACATTGACAAGCCGATCGAGTTGGGGGGGGGCGGGGGAGGGGCGGGGAGAGGTGGCGGGGAACGCGAGTCAAGGTTACCGAGTAATAGATGCATTTTGGATGCGAAAAAAGAACGCAATTACAGGCTCTCCCTTAGAGTAGTAGCTGAAGTATCCGTCTGGTCGCGGACACCGGAGCCTTTTTTGTCGCTGCCCTCATCCTACCCTCTCCTGCGTCGTATTCATTCTGCTCAGGGGGAACGCTTTTATTTTGAAGTTGGCTCGTTTTTTTCGCTCGTGTATGTGCTCTGTTAAATATGTCGCCCATTTCTATACATCCGGCGCGGAGGTTAATTAATTATCAGACTGAATATTTTTTTTGGGATGGGTAGTCACAAAAGTGTTAACCGGAAATAGGGCTTTAGTGAAGACTTTACCCGTTCAATTAGATAGCTTCCTTTTGCACTTCTGTATTTTGGCAGATGTTTTGTACATTTAATTATTTGTTTAATAAAAGTTGTCAGTTAAATTTGGGACAAGTAGATAGATAGCTATCAGAATTTGAATTCATTTGAATGGGAAGGCTAATTTAGTCCAAACAATTATTGATTTCTGTTGAGCTTGACTGGTAATTTGAGGAATCTACCTTTGATTAGACCCTGAAGTAAATGACGGCTGTCTAAAGTGAAGCTTATCTTGCTGTTAATATCTCGATTTTAGATGTAATATAACCTTCACAAAGTTCTGCTTATTCTTTTCACACTCCTAAACGAAATTTTTTAAACTAGCCGAGCTCATTTGTGCTCGAATTTTATTAGTTAACACCACAACACAGCAAGATTTGGGGTTTACGCTTTCAGCATTCAAGTATATGAAAAGTGTATTGGTGCTGTTTCATAGCAACTTTCGGTTGAAAATAGTACGCAAATAGAACTCGTTTCATTGTTGCAATTCCCGGGTGGATGCTTTAGAGAGAAGATTAACCCCGAATCCCATAATAGGATGAAAAGGCATATTTAGATCAAATGGCAGGCGTTTTGATGGTCATCAAAGTGAAAACAGGTCGAGAGAGAGGGGGGGGGGGGAACAAAAGAGTGTTTCAAAGACAAAGGTAGAAAAAAGGTAAAGTGAGTACTGTGGAAGTAGTCGAATATGACATGCAGTGGGGTCATGGCAGTTTGAAGGCAGAAGTCAACAACGTTTAATAGACTTTTTTTGCCGTATTAGTATACGTTTCTCAGGGTGCACCACGTGGAGGTAAGTCTATCGCACACCCACCAGGGTGCACCACGTGGAGGTAAGTCTATCGCACACCCCTTGTGGGTGCACCACGTGGAGGTAAGTCTATCGCACACCCCATGAAAAGGCATATAAGAATTCCCAAACGCAGGAGACATTAAGGCAGGCATATAAAATTGCTATTGCTTAAATACAGTTAGGAAATTTTATGTTAATTGTGAGCAAACTTGGTTGATCTGAAAGATGGGCAAAATTTCATCCATCAGTCTGTTTAAAAAAATATTTGCCTTCATTCAAATAGACACCATATGTTAGTGATCATTGCAATACATTCATATTTGATGTTTCCATTTTTCGGCAAATTCTGAGCTTCCTTTGAATTGAATTTTTGCGACATCTGTCTATCTTTGGCCAAGAAAACATTAGACATTGATGACCATTTGAGTAGTTTACATCGATCACATGATTTGAGTTTGTTTCGTTTTGATTTGTTCTTAATTATTTCTAACACATTTTAGAGAGTAGCTTCGAGGTAAAGCTCTCATCAACTGTATATTTCCCTTTTTACCACTTGACATATTTTTTTCGGAATCGCATTGCAAGACCTAAGTTAACACGGAGCGTTTTTAAAAAAATCATGAGGAAGTAATAGCCGAATATGCCAAATTTTGCTAGGGTTCATTACTCAATATTCCATTCTCTCCCACTCCTCCCCAATTCATCTCCCACAATGAGTAATGTTTTCACTTATTCCACTTCTAGACGATTCTACTATTCTAATTCTAATTGGGAGTTTGTTCAGGTCTTTTCTGCTATGCAATGCACCTCCATCCATAAATCCTGGAATAGCATGTTTTAGGATAGGTGAAGAATTAGATATCCCCTACACATTCCCCTATCAAGTAAGCAATTTTTAGACATATCTTTCCAGTTTTAGAATATGATAGAGAGATAGGGAGAACAGAGTCATGAGAGAGGAACTGGAATAAAGTTGACGATATTTATATCAAATGGCGGGTGTTTCGATAGTTATCATTAGCCCTTTGTTTGACTTCAGGCTTCACAGATGGGAAGGAACATCAAAATGAAAAAGTTGAGGGGGGGGGGAGGAACAGAAGTACGTTTCAAAGATGTAAAAGAGACAGACGCAAAGGTAGATGAAAGGTGAGATGAGTACTGTGAAAATGATCAAATATGACATGGAGTCAGGTCATGGTAGTTTGAAGTCAGAAGTCGACTGCCGGTTAATAAACCTTTTAGCCGTATGAGTATACGCTGCCCAGGGTGCATCACGTGGAGGTAGGTCTATCGCACACCCAAAGTTGATGATAGACAATAGTTTTCTGCGTTGAGTGTATACTAACAGACGGGATGTATGCAATTCCAAAAATTAAAGTGATATTTGAATGTATACAAAAATAGGTGGTGCTGTTGGTATATTTCTTATTTAAATTACGCACGTGAAAGTGCATGAAGGTTCCCCAGATGTGTTTGAGTTTTTACAATCGATTTGATTACTTCAAGTTCAGCAGAGTCACATCGAAACGTTTCATGAAGGTTATCACAAATTAGCAGTCATTTCACTAAAAATTTCTGAGATCAAAGTTAAGGCCCAACTTCATGTTTATTTTTTAATAATGTTTCTAAATATTTCGATACAGCTACCCAAACCTATTAAAGCATAAATTTATTCAACAATAAACGACATCATCAATGAGTCAAAGATATGAATTTGAAAAGTAATAACATATCTATTCTATTGATTTCAGATCTTTGAAAATACTTTTATGAAATATCCTATTGACAAATGAATTTGCCAGATAAAAAGGCGAAACTAGTGTAGTATTTTTTTGAAAACCTTCACAATACTTACTCCAAATAATTCAATATTCTCATAAAGCCTGTACAAATAATCCAAAATTCCTTTATTTGGCTCTGGTGCCTAATAAGATTCAATTAAATTTAGTTAATTCGACGATAATAGACCAAAATAGCAATTCTATTCTTGCTAATAAACATGTGATTAAAATTGATGTTTTAATTGATGTTGACCTCAATGATGCATACTCCCAACTGCCCTAGTGCAGAAAAACGAAACTAGAGCAATTTAAAATTTTGTGCTTACAAACATTTTAATGACCAGGCAGAGTATTTTCACATTTCAATCAGGTCATTATGAAGTGGGAATTAGTTGGTAAGAGTGAAAGCAAAGAAGAAGACAAAGCTGAAAAAAGCGTGATCCCACATGGGCGAGGAAAGTGGTGTTAGTCCCTCGGGGGGGGGGGGGGGGGGGGGGGGAAATGAGGAGGCAACGGCGGTTTCTTTGACCAACTCTCTGAAGTCTCATGTTTATTTTTTTTTTGCATTACCCACCTTCTGAAGTTACGTCTATTCCTTCCAGCTCCCCTATGCATAAGTTATTCGTGCGAGTGAAAGGATGCATTGGGATTGTGGTTGAATCAGACCACTTCACCCCTACCTTTGCTTTTCAAGCCTACTTTTTCTTTGAAAGTGAAAATAATGAGTTTTCAAAGTGTTTGCATGCATAAAGATGGGAAAAAATTTAACCTTGAGACAAGTAGCATATTGGTTGTTAGCTCAGAAAACCAAAGTATATGTATGTACATATTTATTTATTTATTTATTTCGAATGGCAGACATTTTGAGAGTTATCAATAGCCTTTAGCTGACTTCGGGCTTCGCAAAGGGGAGGAATATCAAAGTGAG